ATGCTGTCTAATCGCTCTCGCTGTACTTTGGTGTTACACACAGACCAGTCTGTGCAGTGCTGCTTCAGTCCAACACCTATTGTGTTTTATTAGGAGATGCACAACAGTTCTTCTGTGGCTTTATAGGTAATATTTTCACGTACACAATTTAGCAAAATCAGACAATATTGTGTGTAATGTATACCACAATATTAACTTATTATTATTGAATTGTTGTAAATAAATATCATATTTGGAACTGGGCAGTGTTCAAAAAATGCATGTAGCCCTACAAGAGTGATTACTGATAAATGGAAAGTCTGAAAAAAAGAAAGTCACGTTTTAGAGAAGAAAAAAATCAGCCACTGACTTTCAAAGCTGCTACAGAGTAACGACTTTCTACTTCGAGGACCTTGATAGAAATGTAGTGGAGTGAAAAGTACAATATTTGTCTTTCAAATATAGTGAAGTTAAAGTCATAAGTTCCCAGAAAAAATAATACTCAAGTAAAGTACAGATACTCTAAAAGTGTACTTAAGTACAATACTCAAGTAAATGTACTTAGTTACTGTCCGCCTCTGGCTGACAGACGTTCTAATGTGTGAACACTGTTGAGAGACACACAGACTCTGGTAATTCACACACACTCGCTATCTTTCTCGAATTACTACTACCTCTAAAATTACATTTTAAAATTAGCAACGGAGGTGTGGGATGAGATGCATAAGAAATTTGTCCTACAAACAAGAGCAGTTAAAGGACAAAAACCTGACAAATGTCTTGAAATACAACATCTGAACAATATCTTGAGGTGTGGTAACTTTAGCATAAGTGGAATAATGGATTATATCTGTTCCCTACCCAGTTCTATTGAATTATTAGAAAATAATGCACACTCAAGGTATAACTGTCATTCTGGCTTCGCATTACCACTTGGGGTGTGCATTATTTTCGAATAATTCAATGGCCCGTCACCAATTATTATTTACTTAACTGAGTCAGACATCAATGCTGCTGAAAAAAAAAATGCAAAGACAGAACTATAATGTCATCTTAGTCAGACTTGTATGACTAAGTCTGTGTCATATAATTCAGAATAAGCTTGTCAGCACAAATCCCAGGTAAAAAGTTTTATGAACAGAAAAGTTAAGTTTATTCCTCTTGTAAATTCAGTGCTTGTTTTTTTCCCAAGGCAACATAAAACAAAATGAATAGCAGATGTATGATACATCCACAGTGGACCGCAGACACACAGGGGTATAAATGACATATCATAAGGGTCTGTAGGCCCCAACAGTAATGTCAAATAGTTTAGAGTTGTTCAGTGTCCCTTCTTTGTCCAAAAGGAAGTAGAACTTGTACCATTTGATTTTAAGTGGGATAAATGAAGGTGATTCCTGTCTGTGCGCCTGGCAGGTCACTTGAGACAAAGGCACAGTTAGATGGTGAGCTCTGAGAGGTCCCAGCGGTGATTGTGTAGATACTGTGACTTTTCCACCTCCCTTATGCAGAATTACACGACTCACAGAACGGCGGCCGAACAATATTGCCACCCCAACAATTCCTCCGCCTACAACAGAAAAAAAAATCATATTTAGAGAGCTGGGATACATAAAAAATGCAGAAAGCAGAGTTAAGGCTTACCAATAATTAGGCACCCAAGAGTGAATCCATACCTCCAGGCATTTGAACCGAGGTTCATATCAAAACTGAAAAGCCCTCCTAACTCAGTTATGACTTTTTGTGGTTCACCACTATTTTTTTCTAGTGTCCCTAAGACTTGTGAAAGCAAAGTGAG